GTCTTCGATGATGACCTTAAGGTTTTACCATACCTATCAGATTCAGATGATTGTGCGCAATCTTCAGCCGAAGTTGATGCAAAAGATGATTGTACTCCCCTTCCCTACCTTTTCTGATCTGCATGAAATGGGGGTGCAGATTGAGGATGCCTTAAAACAAGGGTTGATTGATAATGACCGGGAGTAACCCCGCAGAACTTTCAATCGTAATACTAATGCAGGCCCGAGTGGCGCTACAACTACCAGGACCTCCGAAGTGAGTATGGTCACCACCAACCCTCCCTCAAGAACTATGGTAGCCACACCATTCTCCGGTGCATCCGGAAGCAACCCACAAACAGCCAAATACCCTCCCAAAAACACCAGAACCTTCGCTCCGCTCTATATGCCCCTATCCAAAGCTTTGGGGGTTCTAATCAGAAAAGGGCATCTAAAGCCCCTAGAGCCGCGGCCCTTACCAGAAAGACTCCCCATTGCCTACAATCCAGCCAAGTATTTTGCATTTCACCAACAGCACGGTCATGACACTGACCTGTGTTTCCGATTACGTCATGAGATTCAAGATCTCATTGATAATGAGGTGATTTTGCCTCCTGAGAAACCCAACGTTACTACCAATCCTCTCCCCACACATAACCAAGCTCCACCACCCAAAAGAATCAACTTCATCCATACCAGGGTCGTGTCCTACGATCCTAGTATTTATATCACACCTTCCTATCTGCCTAAGCCGGAGGTTTTCCTTCCCGATTGCACCGATTTGTGCATGATGGACGTCTCCATAACCCAACCCAAGCCAGTGGTGGTGACCATCGAGAGCAGGAGACAGAAGACTCCAAAGGAGAAGGGGGTTGTCGAGCCAGAGTCTGCGGAATCTGGGAGTGATGTTGGGAATGCTTATAATCCGAGTGACTACATTTCGCCAATAGACCAGAATAGACCAGATGTGGAATTTCCAGCAGGAGGAGAGCTGTGTACGATCCAAGGGGACAGTCCAGGACAGGGAACGGATGATCTAATGGCTGTAGAAGAGGACCTTGCCCAGTTCCAGTTTTACAGTAACCAAGATCCAGGAAACTCAGCCGTCAACTGGTTCGATTATGAGGAATCAACGGAGGCCACGGGATGGTTGGACGATCAGCCAGATGTGGCAGGAGAGTTTCAGTCAGGACAAGGCCCGGTAGGGGCAGGAATGTCAGTAACAGCCGGGAGGTCGAAGAACAGAATACATCGCCGGAGAGCGCCGATGTCAAGAATTTCGCTCGGGATTGGAGCATTTTGAGTACAGGAATTATTGAACAATCAACCGCATTGACACAGTCAGAACAGGGAAGGTTTGAAGATTCCGAGA